AGATATTGGATCTCAATGTGCCCAGGGGCTCGGAGTGTCTGTCAAGGCCGTCATGGTGTCCAGAGGCTGGACCTGCCATCTGTCTGCCTTGCTCGCTCTGGCCAGCACCACCTTGCTAAGGGCAGGGGCATGCTGGCAAAACACAGCCTCTGGATCTGCTCACTGGAGTGGTGTCAAAGACTGGGAGACCCCTGTGGCAGGATGTTAATAGCCATTGCACACCTGTCATTTGCCCCCAGGGTCAGGTCAGGGAGCCCTCCTGCCCCTTTGAAATAGATTGGCTCCACTTGTTTGTGCAGTCTGGGGTGGCAAAGGGATGAGTCCACGTCCGTGTTGTGCCAGAACATCCCTGAAGGCTATTTTCAGGAAAGCTGGTTTAAAAGCATGATATCTGATATAGTGTGTGATAGTGGCGGTATCCTGGCAGCTGAAAATTTACAGTCAAGATGATGAATACATCTCTGCTGTGGAAAATGGCATGATTTTTTTGGTCCTACAGCTATGACAGCTTAATCTTTTCTTGTAGGAGCTCTTTTTCTGCTTCTCTGAAACCAGTTTGGCACCCTTCCTTAGATTTGCAGTGGATTTTCTATGGCAGATACCATTGACATTTGAGAACTGTTTCTTTCCCGAGAGGAGGACAATCTCAACTTTGTAGCATGTTACGATACTCAACTCTCTGGTGAGTAGCAATAAATGTAGATACGTCCTTTTTGCTAAAGGATGATAATACAAGTCTAATATTGGTAACTGAGCATCTTTAAGACTGTCTTCTCCCTTAGTCTTTTACATTGTTTTTAAGAACCTGTCTGGGAATGGTTGAATGCTGCGTTTAATACACAGGCGTGCTTAACTGCCTTTTCATACCCTTCAAGCCATTGTTGTGATAGAGCACAACAATATTTATTGTTCATTTAGTCAAACTAAACAGCAGTGAGGCAGGCAATTGCATTGAGATTACTCTGAATGTACCAGAGTCCAATACTCTCTGACCAGTTTCTTTTAGATATTCCGCATATGGAGGGTGTAATCGCAGAATCACAGAATGGTCAGGGTTGGAAGGGGCCTCTGGAGATCATCTAGTTCAACCCCCCTGCCAGAGCAGGGTCACCTACAGCAGGTTGCACAGGATGGCATCCAGGCAGGTTTTGAATGTCTCCAGAGTGGGAGACTCCACAACCTCTCTGGGCAGTCTGTTCCAGTGCTCTGCCATCCTCAAAGTAAAGAAGTTTCTCCTCATGTTAAGATGGAACTTCCTGTGTTCAAGTTTGTGCCTGTTACCTCTTGTCCTGTCACTGGGCACCACTGAAAAAAGGTTGTTCCCATCCCCCTGGAACCCTCCCTTTAAGTATTTGTAAGCATTAATAAGATCCCCCCTCAGCCGCCTTTTCTCTAGACTAAAAAGATCCAAGTTCCTCAGCCTTTCCTCATCAGAGAGATGCTCCAATCCCCTCATCATCTTTGTAGCCCTTTGCCGGACCCTCTCCAGCAGTTGCCTGTCGTTCTTGAACTGGGGAGCCCAGAACTGGACACAATACTCCAGATGCAGCCTCACCAGGTCAGAGTAGAGGGGAAGGATGACCTCCCTTGACCTGCTGGCCACACTCTTCTTGATGCACGCCAGGATGCCATTGGTCTTCTTGGCCACCAGGGCACATTGCTGGCT